CCTGAATATATTCATTCTCCCTCCTTCTTTCACTATTTTCAACTTCCCCTTCACCGTTTCTGAAAACTTTGGCCCCAATTTCACTGCAAAACATCAAAATAGGAAAATATTTTTATTGTTTTCTTAAGCATAATAGACCGCTTATGTTGCCTATACCTGTGGGAATGAGGCCGTTGATGTGTGCATCTGAATATGAAAATTTTCAATAGTAGATGAAAGATTTCCAATAGCATCAGGCATTTCAATGGATTGGAAGCGACGTATAGATATCGCAACATTCTGCAGTCCACCAAAGAATTGAAGAATCGCAACTCATGTTCACCTGGTTCATTGACAAGTTGATTACCCCACAGCAGCAGATTTTTCAACTCACGTAGATTTCCCAAATTAGTAGGAATACTGCCTCTGAGATAGTTCCCGGATAGTTCTAATGTCTCAAGCTTGGAAGCATTTGTGATGTACGGAGGAATTTGTAGAAAAATTATAGATAAATTATAGAAAAATTATAGATAAATTGTAGACTGTTTTTTGCAGAAGATTTTGTAGAAGTTTTAGTCGTTTTGGATTTGTGAAAACAGAAAACAATGCATCTACAATCAGAATACAAATAATCTACAATTTATCTACAAACTGGATACATTGAATTTTAATATCCCAATTCCCATTTCAATTGTAGCATAATTGACATTTTCGACATAATTGCGTTTTTTGCAGAAGATCTGTAGAAGTTTTAGTCGTTTTGATGTGTGAAAACAGAAAACAAAGCACCTACAATTAGAATACAAATAATTTACAATTTATCTACAAAATATCTACAAACTGGATACATTAAATTTTTATATCCCGATTCTCATCCAATTGTAGCATAATTGTGATTTTTGACATAATTGCGTTTTTTCAGAAGATTTTTAGAAGTTTTAGCCATTTTTTATTTGTGATAACGGAAAATAAAGCATCTACAATTCAAAATACAAATAATCTACAATTTATCTACAATTTCTGCAAGTCGTCTTCTTCTTCTTCTTCTTCTTCGAGTTTCAATCTGAAATTCAGTCAAAACCAAGTCTAATCTTCACCAAAACTCCTCAAAATTGAGATATAAACTCCAAACCATATTCCCGATTGTTTTCAACAACACCCAATCCAAACAAATAATGATTTTTGAAAACCCAAATTTGAATTCAAAGCTTTCAAGCTTTTTAATGGCTATTAATGGTGGAAAATATCTGGAAGAATATTTACTTCCATAATGGCTTCCTGATTTTTCGCAGGTGATTAAGGCAGAATTTTAATGTAGACTCAATCAATCGCAAGATTTTTTCCTGATTTTTAGCGCGTTAATTATGGAAGATTCTGCCCAATTAATCGTGTATTAAACAAATGGTACAGAAATTGTAGGAAAAATATGGACTAGACGGGTAATTTAAATACTATACACATTTTTGATAATAAAGTTCCATATATGATATAGATAAAAAAAAAATCCCGTAATGTATTATATGTGTTTATACTATACACTTTTCCGTTTTCACTATTCATCATCAATGTTTAACCATAATATATTAGCATTGTTTGGTGTAAAATGCCGATAGAAAACAAAAAACAACTAAAAATCTGATCTATTGATATCCATTGAATTCTTTCACTGAATTCTCAATGTCCTTATGCACCAGAGATTCGAAAAATATTTGACTTGTTATTACTTCCAAACAATTTTCTGATTAAAGTTGAAAGAGACAATATTAAAAAATATTTTGTCATACTGGGGTTCATGAATTTCACTGAAAAACTTTTCAAACAGGTTTCTCAACACTTCATCAGTAATTCACTTTTCAACTTGACAAGTTTTACTATACGCGCGATGTGCGTGTATCATGTACGATACATATAAAATTATAAAAAAATTAAGTCCTTAAAAATAAAAGTTTTAAGATAAAAAATTACCGCTAATCCTATACAGTGACAAAAATAGTGACAGAACAAAAGAAAAAATTAATCAGCTACAAGTTGAATTTCATAACTAATTCCTGTGTTTAAAGTTAAATTATACAATAACATTTCTTAGTAATAATATTAGTTTCTTTTTTAAAACGAATTTTTATTGAGNTAAATTTAATTGGTAATTAAATTTTATACTACACAAATTAATTTATTACTTTTTTCTCCAAAAATAATTACTCTTCCCTAAAACCTACTAATACCGTATAAAATTTTAAGAATAGAAGTAAAAGAATTTAACAACCAAGATTCTAAAAATATACTTTAAATTTTAAAAACAACAAATAACTATATGAAAGAGAAATGAAGAGGCAAAATTAGTTTTTATGATTAAATAATAAACAAGGACAAAGAAAAAAAAATATTACATAAAAGCGTGAAGTTTCCTTGTTGGAAACCAACAGTAAAATTTCATCCTACTGAATTTGTACCAGCACGGAATACAATATATGAGGCGAACAAAACCACATACCAATGATAACATAATAAAAATTAAAGAATATGAAAAGAAATGCATGCTACTAAGCCTATCATTGAGCGCTATAAACTACCTACTAACCCTCTACCTTAATCCTCGACCTCCACACCCTCCTATCAAGCGTCATGTCCTCAGTGAGCTGAAGCAGCGCCATGTCCTGCCTAATCACTTCTCCCCAGTACTTCTTACGCCTACCTCGACCCCTTCTCAAACTCTCCATGGCCAACCTCTCATACCTCATGACAGGGGCATCAATGTTGTTTCTCCTAACATGTCCGAACCATCTCAGCCGCGACTCCCGCATCTTGTCCTCCACGGAGGCTACTCCCACTCTGTCCCGGATAGCTTCATTCTTAATTCTATCTCGCATGGTACACCCACACATCCATCTCAACATCCTCATCTCTGCTACTCTCATCTTCTGCACGTGGGAGTTCTTGACTGACCAACACTCAGCCCCATGCAACATAGCAGGTCGAACTACCACTCGATAAAACTTACCCTTAAGTCCTAACGGCACCTTCTTATCACATAGAATACCATAAGCGAGCCTCCACTTCATCCACCCCGCTCCGAATCGATGTGTGACATCTTCGTCAATCTCCCCGTTACCCTGGATAATAGACTCGAGATACTTAAAACTCGCTCTCTTGGGGATAACTTGAGCATCAAGCTTAACCTCTACGTCTGCATCATGGGTCTCACTAAATTTGCACTCCAAGTATTCTGTCTTGGTTCTACTCAGTTTGAAACCTTTAGATTCCAAGGTCTGTCTCTAAACCTCCAACCTCGCGTTAACTCCGCTACGCGTCTCGTCAATCAACACTATATCATCGGCAAATAACATGCACCAAAGAACCTCCCCTGGATGTGACGCGACAGTACATCCATTGCCAAGGCAAACAAAAATAGGCTAAGAGCCGATCCTTGGTGCAACCCCATCACCACAGGGAAAAGGTCCGAGTCACCACCTACAATCCTTACCCGAGTCTTAGCATCATCATACATATCCTTAATCACCCTAATGCACTCTACCGGAACTCCGCTAACTTCCAAACACCTCCACAGTACCTCCGTCGGAACTTTATCATATGCCTTCTCAAGGTCAATAAACACCATATGCAAATCCTTCTTCCTTTCCCTGTTCTGCTCCACTAATCTCCTTACCAGATGAATCGCTTCCGTAGTCGAACGCCCCGGCATGAATCCAAACTGATTCTCGGAAATAGACACGCACTTCCTCACCCTGGCCTCCACCACTCTCTCCCAAACCTTCATAGTATTAACAACAAAAATCCAAAAATTTATTTATACAATTCAGAATGAAAGAAAATAAAGTTTGTCAAATATATATTCGATGCACGGCATATACAAATAATTATTCAAATAAAGGTATTCTATATATATATTATATATTCTTGAAAATTATGCTCAATTATATTATATATTTCATACACGACTAAACATAGCATATTTTACCCTATACAGATAGTCCACCCGATTTTCAGTGACATAAAAGTTGGTAGAAACATAATAATATAATTGAGCATAATTTTCAATAATATATAATGTATATTATAAAAATACCTTTATTTAAATAATTATTTTTATATTACGTGCATCAAATATATATTTTACAATCTTTATTTTCTTTCATTCTAAATTGTGTAAATAAATTTTTAATTTTTTCGTTAATACTAAAATTATTATTACTAAAAAATTATTTTAATTAATTTTTCTACTATGCTCATTATTTTCTTATTCCAGTATTATATGTGCTTAAATACTTTTATTTTTTTAATTTATAAATAATATTTTGTTTATTCTATATGTAAGTCATAATATAAATTAAAAAGGAAAAAATCATAATATTAAAAAGTTTTAAAAAAATAAAAAGAAGATAAATGTTTATAATTTAGAGGGTAAAATAGGTATTTGGCAACTCAAAATTTGGAAAATTTAGTTGAGTGACCTTCTGAGTGCAATAGGTATGGTTCAGTGACTTTGTTGTCACAAACGAAAGAAAAATAACTTTAGGAGATAATTTGGGATAGTTAAATGACCATTTGAGTAATGAATTCTAGATTATCCTTATCTCAAATGTCAAAGGAAGAAAACATATATGCAAAGGCAAATGCAAAACTATAGCAGTTCGCAAAGCTGACAGTTATCTCTTTTACCGAGACTCAAGTTTTTAATTGTTGAGAGGCGGACCTATGTGTTACAGTGAGGGATCACCGGACGCCATCAGTCTCGGCAGAAATTTTGTATATACCTTGAAAATGGTTAATTAAAAGCGCTTGGCACCCTGAACATTAAAAGCCTTTAGGGGACACTGGTTAAGCAGAATATTGTGCCCCCGTCGCGTAAAGATTCTGAGCCCGCCTCTACTTGTGATGTTTAAGGTTCTATAATTTGCAATAGAAATTTCTTTACTGTAGTAAGGAGCATTATTGAGACATTTGTTCTTGCAAAGGAAAGATAGAAATAAGCAATCAATCTCAAAAAAGAAAAAGACACTTGCTCAAATCCAAATCCTCATGTAAAATCATGAAAAATTAAAATCTTGAATAATAGGTGCCAAGTTCTGTACAGAGGATGCAAGACTCGCACAACTCCACCTATCTCTAAGAAAAAGAGAATACAAAGGAAAAACTACGATTTTTCGGAAAATAAAATGGGGTGGACTATATATACATCAATAACAGTTGCTCAGGCATTTGAAGATGCTGTCAAAGCAAATAAAACTAGCAGAGGGCTACAGGGAGGACGCCTTGAACGTCATACAGAGAAGAAACGGGCTGATCTCGATAGCCAAACTGTCGATTGTTTCTAATACATTGAATAATAGAACACCTACAGTTACATTCTAGCAAGTGTCACTTACCAGAAATCTATCTAGCACCAGCTCATCCATCCAGAATAAGAAGTCAAGCAAACAACACTGCTGGCTCCTTGGACGATCTACTAATCCCATTATCATACCGTTTGAATGTTGTATCCTGATGGGAAATGCAGGTAATACTGTAAATTATGGAGCACCATTATCATGCTCACCATCAATCATCTAATTGCACTTTATCGGCTAAGACTTGGTGACAAATATCAAACCAACAATACATTCGTCGATTAATGTATTTTATTTGCTCGTCCTGCCCAATAAAGGAGAAGAAGGGCAGAGGAAGAGCGTTTTATCATGTTGTGTTTGAGAATGATTCATGTATACAAATACATAGGGACCATGTGATAAACTGAGTTTCCTTATTCCATATCTAGAGAAGTGCTTTTTTTTTGTGAGTCTGTTGTTTCCACAAGATTAACATGCTATATATGAGAAGGAATTTACCTCACTGTCCTCCCAAATTGCCCCAACACACTTGGAAAAGCTAATGCTAGCACTTCTCAGCAAGCAGCGTGCAGTGTTGCTTGTTGTACTAAGCTCTACATTTTCATTCCTAGTGTCAGCTTGGTTGAGCTCGTGTGACTTTGGGGGGCTTGGAAGGCATCTATGAGCAACAGTTGCTTCAACGTGCCTTTCGAATTCACCATCGTGATCAGTTTCCTCGTCTATTGAAACATAGACCCGCTCTCTGTAGAAAAAATTTAATGAGACTATTTGAGTAAGCAAAACACTGTTAGCTCTTAAGTATGAAATCCTTAATATCCGGGTCAACTAACCTAGGCAAGGAGGCATATCGCCTTGGATGGAGAACATTTTTTCCACCTTCGCCATAGTGCCCCTCAAGTAGGTCAAATTGTTCCTTAAAGCAATCGACCCCACTATATATATGCACATCAAACATCATGTTAGCATAACATTTAAAGATATAGCTAAATGCATGCAACAGAAACAGGGAGGACTTCACAAGTAAGGATCATGAGAACGTCTCTTCAGCAAAATGGAGAAAGCAAAGCAAAAGCTACCATCATTCTGATTTTGAAGGTTGTCACTTAAGTTTCCTTAGACTTACTTAAGCATTATCAAATTGTACCAAGTAAAAGGGAAGTACAATACAAGACTCTAAGGTATAATTAGCCTACTTCTGTTCTTGTTAAGGGTTGAAAAAAATTGGATCATGATATTGATCCAGACAGAAGAAAATTGCTTAGGGATGTCCACCTGAATGAAACACAATCCTCTCTACATTCAAAAGTGAAAAAACAAGATATTTCATTAACAAAATTGATTGATCTTGACTAAGACTAGCCGTACCTGAACTTATCTAAACTAGCAATTCTCTGGTCAACATAAGCAGGTTCAATAGCGAAGCTCTTTGGGGGGGAAAAAAACTAGATACTATCTCTTCCCATATCAGGAATGTGATGATAGCCAAAATGAGTACTAGTTATAGTATAGTTACCAAAGCCATCCATAGTCTTGCCATAACTTTACTGTTCCATACAAACAAGTAGAAGCCATAACTACTTCAATGACATTATTTTCAGAATGATAAGCTAGGACATAGTTATACAACTTAATGCAGATTCTACTCGATAATGATCATAGCAAAACATGGTAACTGAATCTGCAAACTCCTTATAGAAGATGGTTATGTGTCAATAAAAGGATAGAATTTGGAATTATTCTCGAAGCTCATATGGCACGGATATCACACAGAACTAGGTGCAGTGTTCAAAACCGGAAGAACACTGCTTCAAGCATGAGCTCTGGCCATAGTTGCAACCACAAGCAATCCACTGGTTTTATAGGGAAATAATCACTTCTCAAACACAATTTCTGTAAGCTAATAGCTCATGACCATCCACTGTTTATTTCTGTGCAACAGCAATGTTGTTTAGTTGAATGGTAAGAACTTGTAAACTTGTCCGTTATAAAAAATGTCCAATGCTCACTAATGTATCTATCCATGTTTCTCGTACGGAATACCTTATTACTTAAATATTGCTAGTTCACAAGTCATGCCGATATCATCCTATATATGTCAAAAAAACAGGCAGGATTTCTCTAACTAGCCTTCCTCATCAGTAGTTGTACATCCCAAGCACCATGATAAAGATCTAACTATTTACTGCATAACATACTAACGATTAATTTATCAGATATGCCTGGAAATTAGGTTCAATGCGCCAAAGTATTTGTATATCACAGTTAGTCAACAAAATGATTGGTCAAAACATGGACTGAATCATATTTAGTATCTATAAATTGATATGCTTGTGACCCTCTTCACTGGCAGATTTCTCCTTTCTTATCCCATGAAGGTCTCAGTGGCAGATATAACCTCATATATTATGCATCAAACAACAAGTATGTCATCATAATCCAAGATAAAAGTAAGTGCAGATACCAGAATGAAACATCTAATACCATTGAAGTAGTTGTGTCTTCTACCGCCAATACATCTCTTTATCACTCTTTTATGAGATTCAATTAGATGCTAATTTCAGTTGCATTACATGGATGAAAATGTTTATTTTTAATGCATGATAACTAAGACATATGTGCTAAAAAAAAGGAATTAGTATGTTCTTAGCAGGTGAACAAAAAGCAGACATGGACAAATTTCACAAGATCATACGATTGAGTCAAATCGTTAGAAAGAACTAGTCCTCGGTCATAGCTACCAACGACTATGGACAAATAAGGAGAAGTGTTGGCAGTACCTTGGATACAAAAAGCTGGTATTGTCAGTGCCATGAAGATACTCCTGCAGCATCTGCGGGTGGTACTCCAAAATCTGTGAAGGGCAAAATCAATGTTATAGTACGATGGAGGAGGAGGCACAAAAGAAGGTCAAGGAAAGATAAGATTGGTTGCCAACTCATACCTCCCTGTAGATGAGCTCTCTAATATCCTCTTTTGCCAGTTTTCTTCTTTCAAAGTCGAATTCAAATTTTGAAATAGGCCGGGCAGATGGCTCGTGCTCCTTGTTTGCTAAACCACGGAAATATGGATGTGCTAGTGCCTAGAGGGGATTAACACAGGACAACATGAGAGAGATAAAAACTTGCATCATAGGCTCCAATGAGTGTCCAACAATCTACTAAGTCCTACCTCTTCAGCAGAAGGGCGATCTTTGGGGTCAAATGCAATCAAACGCTCAAGTAAGCTTAGAGCTAGTGGGTCTATATCTGGGAATTTTTGAGAGAGGGGAATAGGGGCTTTATTCTTCATGCTGCTTAAATATCTCCTTGCTTTGTCATTTTTAATCTGCATATATCGGGAAAACGGATCAGATTCATTTGGTATTCATTATACATCACTAGTTTATTAACTTCGACTGAGGAAAGGGAAGGACAAACCCTTGAAATGGCTTCAGTGGATGGTGAACCAAGCAAATCGGTAATCAGATCCAATTGGTGGACCACATTCTTCCCAGGAAATAATGGTTTTTTAGTAAGCATTTCTGCGAATATACATCCTATACTCCAGATATCAACTGCTGGGGTGTACTGCAATAAGTAGTTTGTATTAGAATTGATACCAAATTATGAGCGATCACAGTATAATAAAGTAAATATAAGTGAGCAATGATTTACACAAGTTCTTTCCCAGCAAAGTAAAATTTAATATTGCAGCACAGAAACTTAAGGCATGAAGATTGCAAAGAGCAGAATTCAGATAAGGAAAGAGAACAATAAAAATAAGAGCTTTCGTTCGTAAAATTTGTGAAAAATGTCAACCATGGCCCCAAAAGGGCTCCTGTTCAGCTCTTTTCCCCTCCTAATAACAAGATAAGAGTGAATAAGAAAACATGAAGAAATTAAAGTGCCATCGCTGAATCACATAATATAATATTGGTAGGGAAAATTCCGCATGCTAAGTACAAAAGTTTCACCACATGAAGACAGATATCTACTATTAACATGAAAAAGTCATTTGAGAAGTGTACGGGATAAGAAACAAACTATATAAGCATTTGAGTTACCGATTAATGTCATACTTACTTTTGAGTAAAAAGAACCACAAAGTTCTGGAGCGCGGTACCAACGAGTTGCCACATAGTCCTGTAAAGAGCAAAGGAATTAAGAGTTTTCTTTGGAATAAAAGCAAAAATCATGCTGAGATATTGACTACGAAAATTTTGTGAAGAGAAAAGAGAAGTATGAGGTACTTGAAAGCATAAAAGAATCAGGGTTGAGACCTTCTGACTGGCTATAAGATAGATCGAGAAAATTTAAAGTAGAGAAATGCTCCGTACCGTCCAGAAAATAGCTGATGGGGTATCTCCAAATGATGCCCGAGCAAGCCCAAAATCACATATTTTCAGCTTGCAATCTGCATTTGCTAGAATATTCTTTGGCTTTAAATCTCGATGAAACACGTTTGCTGTTGAATCAATAAACGAGGGAAAAGTCATAAAAATGTAAAAGAGAAATCTAACTAAAATACCGGAATGTGTTCAATGAGGAATCGCCACCTGTGTGCATAAACTTTAAACCTCGAAGAAGCTGATACAAAAAGAATTGATAATGTTCAGGAGTGAGACTGTCATTGGCCTTAATTACATGCTGAAGGTCACACTCCATCAACTCGAAAACAACATATATATCCTTGAATTCTCTCGGACATGGAGGTAACAGAATATGCTTTATTTCTACAATATCTGGGTGCCGAAGCAACCGGAGGAGCTTTATTTCTCTAAGGATGCGGGTGGCTTCAGAGACATGCTCCAAAACATTATCGATCTTCTTTATCGCTACCCTCTCTCCTGTATGAGTATCAACTGCTGCTGCAACAACACCATAGCTCCCCTTGCCAACAACCTCTTGGATTTCATATTGATGTGCTTCACCATATTCGGTGAAGAATTCCTTGAAAGGCATTGCCTGAGAAATTAAAAGACACTATCAGAACTGTTTTTTTTAACATACAAGCAAAATCTAAGAAACACGCATACAATGTAATACATAAATAAAGAGTTAAAATCTTTTCTCTCTCCATCATCACCACAAAATTTGAAAAGTATCAAAAATCTCTACCAAACATTATCTTCCAATATTACTGATTTTTGGGAAGGTGTTCAAGAAATGCGGGTAATACTCCTCTTTAAGTGTCAGAAAAAGGATAGGAAGAGGATTTAACAATCATCAACGATACAGAATCAGATGCAAACCTTATGGACTACTCTAGATAATATTGACTCAAGTAAATCTGCTTCTGCTTCAGAGTTATAAGGTAGTCATGGGACTAAGGACAGGAGCTTAATGGTGGAAATTGATACAACCATTCATAGTTAGAGAGAGATGACAAAATACTATTAAGAAACAAAAAGGAGCAATCATAAAGCAGCAGCTGAAACTGACACAACTAGAGTGCAGGTGACCAACAATAAGAGAAAACGCATCACATGTGAATAAACTTGATGATCAGAGTGACCGAATTATTTCAAATTTGGGATCATTCTAATTAGGGGTGAGAATACTGCGGGTTGCTCTCTATGCCTTTTTTAAATCAAAATGCCCAGCCTATACCTTCAGATATTCTAATAAAGATTGATGTTCTTATTATATCATAAGACGAGTAGAAGTAAGTTCAATCTTGGAGGTTTTTTCCTATTTAGTGTGTGTCATTTGAAAATTATGGTGGAGAAACATTTCAAGTGTTAAGGGATTCATGTTTTACATTTTGTGTAAATTTTTGTGCCACTTTTCATTTCTGAAGCATTTTTTTAAAAAAGTTCACTCATCAGTAATCAGCCAGTCAACAAAAGTGAGTGGAGAGAAGTTATCTCTAAGACTTCCGCAAATTATTTCACTATTAAACAAAACTTGGAAAATTTGTACATTAGATACTGGTTTCACATTGTCTTTGCTAAAATGATGGTTAGCAGTAGGGTTAATGGCTATCCATGCCAAGTACGGCGAACAAATACGGAAATAGCCAGCAGGGCTCAGAAGAAAGATAATATGAATAGCCAGATTGAAAAGCAAGCTTCCAATTCAAAATTTCAAATATCTCAACCAAAAAAAAACTGAAAAGAAAAAAGAAAAGTTACCATCTTTTTTAAAATTTAGACTTCTATCTAAGATGCAAGCTGTTTAAATCACAATCCAAAACCTACAATGTGTCAAAAAGTTAGAAACAAAATACAACTTAGAGCAGACAGCCTCAAAATCCACAGCATTGCAAAAAGAACAGAAATCCCTATCATCTAACTTTGTAATTTTTTTAACAACCAAATACCAAGATCCAAATTTGAACTCTCAACCAGCCAATCCGTGGCATATTTAGGTCATGTGAACTCGCAAAATAACAACAACAACGATATACCCAGTATCATCCCACAGGTGGGGTCTGGGGAGGGTAATGTGTACGCACACCTTCCCATCTGGGGAGGGTAATGTATACGCAGACCTTACCCCTACCTGGGGAGGTGTGAACTCGCAAAATCAACACAACATAAATCCACATCCTATTAGTTAGATTAAACTGTAGGAAGGTTTACATTTCATTCAAATGCATTCAAGAAAAGAACAAGTAGTCTATATAACAGAATTATTGGAAGAAATTACTACCTCTGAAAAGGGTCAGTGAAGGCAAAGGGAAAACAGCTCTTAGATAATATATGGCTCCTCCTCTCCACACTTTCTTGGAGTCTTTTATAGTTATACCTCCATGAAAGGTACACGTCTAAAGAAATGACCAGGTAAAAGCAACCCCAGTTGAATTCTGCTATATTTATATCAGTTCATATTAAACTAATATAATAAAATGCAAATAAAAGAGAGCCAAAAAATTAGATATGTCAGCCTTTTGTCCATATCACAATCTTCCACAAACAGCTTTACATGAATAAAATATTTCAGAACAAAGCGTTTCAAGATAAGAAACAAAGCTACGAAATGGCCAAGAATAAGGCATCATCACCAAATAAATAAATAAACAAATAGAGTAGAATCCAATGCATCATTGGAACTAAATTATAAAAATGAAGATTGCCTCTATAGGGGGTGGTGGTCTAAGTGTTGCACTAACAACTTTTAAACCTAAGGTTCATGCACTACCACTAGGACAAATTCTTCCTATCTAATTAACGGGTTCAACTGAACCTAATGTTTTTTACACAACATTATAGATATGTATATGAAAAAAAAACCACTAAAATTTCAACTTTAATCTGAACACCTAGTTGATTAAATTGCATTTAAGTCCGGTAGCGAGAACATAAAGGTTGAACCTGCCAAGGTTAAATCCTGAACCCATTCTAAATTGTGACACTATCAATACATGTTTCCAGAGGCGGACCTATGTGTAACCTTGAGGGTTCACCTGACCCCGTAAACTTTGGTAGAAATCTTGTACTCCCTCTGTTTCAATTTATGTGAACCCATTTGACTGGGCACGGAGTTTAAGAAAAGAGAGAAGACTTTTGATCTTGTGGTGTAAAATGAGGCACATATATTTTGTGTGGCTATAAATCATTGTGTAAAGGTAAATTGTTTCTAAATAAGGAAAGGGGTCATTCTTTTTTGCACGGACTAAAAAGGAAATAGGTTCACATAAATTGAAACGGAGGGAGTATATTTTTATGATTAATTTAAGTGCCCGTTTGGACATAAAATTTGATGGAAGATTTTTCCAAAAAAAATTCACTTTTTTTCGAAATCAGCGTTTGTTCATAAAATTTCCAATTTTCACTTGAAGATGTATTTTGGAAATGTTTGAAAATTTGAAAATCTGCAAAATTTTCAAAATTTTCACTCAAATCACTCACAAAACTTCTAAAACATTCCAAACTGAAATTTATGTCCAAACACAACTCAAAATTTCAAATAACATTTTCACCATTTTTTCAAATTTTACAATTGTATGTCCAAACGCCTACTAAATCACTTGACACCCGAACACTAAAAACCTTTAGTGGGTACTGGCTCAGTAGAATAGTGGTGCCCCATCGCGTTAAAATGTTGGGTCCGCCTCTATGTGTGTATGTAAATTGAATGCGTAAGCAAGTTCACCCATTACCCAACATTGAATAGTGAGCCTTATCTCTTTTTTATTTGAGTCAGTTAATTTGTCTGCACCGCCACAGAAACTAAAAGTACAAATACACATACAGAGGAAGAGAGAAATAGTTAGAGAGAATATGAAAGAACTGACCTTTTCAAGCTGAGGCTAGCTTTGCTGTAGAGAATGAGTTCAGCAGCAAAGAGCTTTACTTATATGAAAGAGTTGAGCAAAGAAAAGGTGGCAAAAGTAATGAGAGCCAAGGGAATTACAACATTTTACCTATTCTTTTGGATGCCATGTTTTCGGGTAAAATAGATCAAATTTACTCCATTTTTTCTGACTTTTCTTGGTCGGTTGCTGCAGCAATTGGAGTGTAGATTTTGGTTTGACATATTCATTTGATTTCGACATTACTACAGTAATTGTCAACTTATGAGTAATACGGAAGCACATTGTGATGTTTCACTTTTTAAAATTAAAAAAAAAAAATGTTTTAAAGCACTTTGTTGTTAATATTCAAAATCTAGTGGTCCGATTCACCGGAATTCACATCCAATATATTTCCTAAGGGGTAAAATATTTTCTATTATAACGTTCATTATTTTTTAAAACTAGAATTCATAGAAACGACACTATGTAGTCATTCTAAAGGATTATTATTTAGAAATTAGTCAATAAATCCTGAATTCAGTTTTTCAGTTTTTTTTTTCGGGACTAAAAACTCCTTAATTGTCCTAAATTAAGATTTTTGGTTCAGAATTTTAGAACAAAATAAATACTGACTAATAAAATCCTAACGGTCAATCAAGTATGCATTCACTTAATCTTGGTTTTTACAGATTTGACTTTTCATATTAGTCAAATTGCAGATTTATTTATTTTGTGAAGATAAATAACTATATAAATAAGCATCATCAAGTTGAACATTTAATTATTTAAGCAAGCTCTACGTCACGAAGTTGTCCCCAGATTTGTTTTTTGTACGGCCAAGGACGACATCTTTAGTTGAAAATTTGCTTGTTGAATTCTACAACTTTCATCACGCTGAATTTCACAAGCTAATTATTAATAATTCTAATAATTGTTAATTATTAATTAACAATAATAATTAATAATATTCATAATAATAATAATAATTGTCCGAAATGCAAACTTTTATCGTAACACGTCAGTCCAAGCTTATAATTTGCGGAAACACGTCATTCCAAGCTATTATCAATGGATTAGCCTATTTGATTTATATTTTAAAAATATTTCCTAGATAAGATATTATATAATTGAATAAAATTAATTAGTTATATAGTGATCAAACAAATGTTGGTTATTTGTTAAGCCAACCGTAAAAGACGTGTTCTCCTGTTTGGTTTAGATTCATCATTCATTGTTGGAAAGGATTGACCTCAAACTCTAATGATAATTATAAAAATGAATTTTAATCAAAAAGTAATAAAGTCTGGTCAACCTCCATGTATTCCATTAATACTTGCAATTTTTCTGGCTTTAGTTAATACGCGAGAAAACGTGAGGGGCCTCCAACACTTAGATTATTTTCTTAGATTCTTGGTTTTGACAGCCACATTTTATATTGATCTTGACTTGTTGATTTGAACGTTATCGGCTAATACATTCATTAATCCTTATTTCTTTTATTGGCAAAAAAAATTCTTATTTGTACCAAAAGTCAACTTTAAAAGGCATATGAATAATGTAAAGAGCTAGGTTGCGTTTCACTAATTTATCATAATATATTATTCAACAAGTTTTTTGGTTCCAAAATGTTCAAGATAGATCTTAAAAAAGGATGGATGGAATTAGGGTTGTGCACGGAACGAATTTAGCACATTTCGGATTCGAATTTCAGATTTCGGATTCTAGAAAATGCAATCCGAATCCGATCCGATTTGGAACGGATCGGATTTCGGATTGTATTATTATGACTCAAAGTTAAATTAATATGTATATTTTCTTTGTAAAATAGGCAATACATTAAGAAAAATTCATGTTTATGCAATTATGAGAGTACTATTGTGCTAATATAGCTAAATCTAGCAATTGTAAAGGTAATAACTTGGAGGTTGATCTAAAGGAAGTACTGACTATCCGAAATTAAAGTGTATTATTTATACATGCCCTAATAATTTCGGATTTCGGATCAAATCGGATTAAAATATACCAATCTGAATCCGATCCGAAATTCGAAGTTTTAATAAACATAATCTGAAATCCGATCCAATTCGAAATCCGAAATCTGAAATTGAATGGATCAGTTCGAATTTCGGATATTTGATCCATATGAACAGCCCTCGGTGGAACAGTTCAAATGCAATCAATATACCAATACACCGTGATTTATTGCAAATTAACCAAACGAAGAAGAACACATAAACCAAATTTGATTTATATCGTCACAAATGAAGAGAGACCACACAACAGACTGATAATAGGTGAATTTGACTATAATCACACCTTAAATAATCACCTTCTTGCGTAGTTTTAATGCTAAAAGTGATGACAAAATACTCTTATTAGTGCTTTTCATGATTTGTAGGTGATATATGTATAAAGACGGCTAAGGAGCAGTTTTGGAGTCAAAAGTGATGAAAAAAGAGGCCAACTGTGAAATTTCCTAAGTGACCCGGGAAAAAACAGGCCGAAGATTCAGAGAATGGGATCCACCGCGGTTTTACCGCGATCGCGGCAGAACCGCGGTGGGAAGCAGCTGCAGAAGTTGTGAGAATCCGCGAGGATGTTTGGGCGGCAGAACCGCGGCAGACGCAGAAACTTCTGGGACCAAAGTGTCAATTACGGGATTTTTAGACCTAAACCCTATTTAAAACATTAGACTTCACCCAAGAGAGGCATGTATTGATTTTTTAGGTTTCTTAGCAAGGAAAACAATTGTGAGAAAGTACACTAAACATCTTTCTTCTTTTCTTTTTGATTTTATGATGAATTCAAGCTTAGTTTATTCTTCCGTATCTATGAGTAGCTAAATTCCTTGTCTAAGGCATTGATGGAACCTATTGGGTGATGAACTTCTTGTTTATGTGAATATAAATTGCTAGTTTAATCTTTATTTGTTCAACTTCGTGTTCGTTGTAGTTAATTGATAGGATCCTCAATTAGCTGTGCCTATTTAGTGTGCATAACTCGGAAAAGAATGCATATTTAGGGTATTGTTGAACAACACCACTCCTAGATTATTAGAGGAATCTATAATTGCAGGTTTAAAGGCGGGATTAGGGATAACGAAGCCTTGGGTGTAATCTAAAGTGAATCGTGCTAAATAAAGTAAGCTAGTGTATCTCGGGAGAGTGCAATAGTAAATTACTGTGATTACTCGGGAGAGATTTACGGTAAGATTAGCGTTCATGATTGATAGAGATGTGTTGGTAAATTTGTATGAGCATAAACAGAAGGGATTCCATCAATAGGAGAAATCATTGCCTTAGCTTGTTTTCTCATAATTGTTTACGACCTTTATTTTTACTTAGTTACAGCCAGTTAGTTATTTGCAAGCTAGTTGTTAAAGAACACTCAATTGAGATTTGAATATTTGGGAAGCTGGTTCTGAAGACTTAGTGGGTCTGAAGGTAGCAGTTGATAGGTTAACTCTCTGTGGATTCGACCCTGGGCGTAATACTCGGGTTATATTTGCAACGTCCGCAGAGTCCTTTTTATAAGGCATAGTTGGGCGTGATCACAGACTAAGAGAGAGATCAAACGAAGAGGGAAGGATTCAAGAAATTACAAATAAATTTAAAAGGGGATTTACTGCCTTTATTTACTTTTTGCGCAATTGAAAAAAAAAGGACTGAATAATTTTTAAGATAGCTAGATGTGTCAAGTTCCAATCTAGCTAGGATTGGCTTCTTTCAGCTCCCTGAATTGTGGAGAATAGAGAAAAGTCCAAAGTGATGGCAGCCATGGCCCGTGGATATATGGTTTGAAAATGACAACTACTCCCGTTAATTAATTATTATTTGCATTTTTTTTTCTGGCTATAAGATGTGGAGAAACGTAAAGGGACCTAAATAGACAGCATTTGCTAAGTCATTAAAATATAGCCACTACTTTGCTGCAACAGAGACCAGTCCAGCATAATATACTGAAGTTCGGTGCACCTGTGTATGAACTTCCTGTTGAGTTTAATTTTAATATGAAAAAGTATTAAAAAGAGGGTGAATGAGAAATGGAGGGAAAATGAAATTTTTGAGTAAAATTTTAAGTTTCTCTCTCCTTTTAATGAGACATTGTCCCTCATTGGTAAAAAGAATTTTGGTAGGTTTATATACAAGTGCACTTCATGTAGCTCTTAAAGAGTTAAGAAGAAGGCAAGCCTCGCGCCGCCGCCGTCGTCGTCGTCGCTTTGGTCAAATGATTGATTGATTAATTCCTCCACCATGGAGGGTGACGGGTCTCTCCTGACTGCTATAAATATGAGCAGCAGTTGGAGAGAAAAAATACTGAAAACTTGAAAGATATCCTCTTCAGTAACAACTCAACATCGGCTATACATTGCATTCCTTCCTCTCAGAATTTCTATTCGACTTCTGAGTTCTCCTCCCTTGTTCTGCATTGTTTTAAAGTTCAAACAAAGCAACCGTAAGTGTGATTTGCTGCCGAACATTGTGTTCGCTGAAATATTGGGGTTTGAAGTACCGCTACACCAGTGTGTAATTCGTTCTATCCTGGGAGGAAATAATCCATAACCTTGGGTACTAGGAGGGGATTAAATTCCTTAAGGAAACACTGTGAATTCAGTGGGCTCGAATTAATTACTGTCTCATTTATATTTACGTTTATACGCTAACGTTCTTTTCTCCGGAATTATTATTTACAAATACAGGTTAATTAACAAGATTAAAAGGTTAACAAGCTTAAGGAATTTAATTTCATTTTAATTTCTGTATTTGTGTTATTCTTATTATTCTGGAAACTAAAACCTTTGTGGTTTTTGTGTACTCCCGTTTGGAGAGTAAAGCCTTCGTGGCGGTTCGTTGGAAATTAAAATCTACGTGATTTTTTTTCTCCGAGTTTAAAACATTTTTTAAACGTTTGTTTGTGTCATTCTTTTACAGAAAAAATGGCAAATGACAACGAAAACCAAGCTGTTCCGATGATGACCGCCAACGCATCGACAAGCCGAACACCGGTGTTGGCGCCGGCAGAAAAACCCGGAATTGATTTCAAGCGCTGGCAGCAGAAGGTGTTCTTTTATTTGACTACGTTATGTCTACAGAAGTTTATCAAGGATGATGTTCCTGATCTGCTGGATGAAACTCCAGAGAATAAACGCTTTATCGTGAATGAGGCGTGGAAGCATTCTGACTTTTTGTGC